CTAGTTGTTTTTAAAAAATATATTTTTAGACTAATTTAAATTAATATACATTAAATTATTTTCTTAAATGTATAATTTTTTACTATCAATAGCTTATAAAAACTTATATTAATAAATTAACAATTAAAAATAAATTTTATTAATTCAATAAAAATAAATGTCTCACATAATTATACTGTATATCCAGTGGTAAAATAAAAATAATTCAATTAAATTAATAACTTTACATTAATTTTAGATTTTTTGATTTATTTTTATCATAAAATGCAATTAATTTCTTTCTATTAAGTTAAGTTATTATTTTAAATTTAAAACATTACATTTTGATGAATAATAAATTATGTAAAAAATTTATTATTTTTTAAATAGATAATTAAAATACAACAAATAGTATTTTGTAATATTTCAATTAAAAAATGTAATTCATTTCTGTGTAAAAGATATATATAGAAGTAATTTTTAATTTTTAATATTAGAAACACATTAATTGATTCAAATAATTGAATTAATATATTTTTAATTAATACAATATATATTACAACTCATATATATATATATATATATATATATATGACATTTACAGTATATTATATTTTTATTATACTGAAATTTAATAGTATTAAATAAGTATTTAATTATTATTTGTTTATTAAATATAATTTTTTTGATTATAATTGTTTGAAATATAAATCTTTACGATATTTTTATATATGTTATCAAATCAATAGATTAGTAAATTTATTATAACTTATATTTTATTTTTTTTAATTTAAAAAAACTGTAATTAAATTTGTATTTTTAAAGGTATTATTAACAAAAATGTTATTAGATTATTAATTAGCAAACATACCAACTCAAAATATTATTTTGAAAATCTTTAGTTTATTTTTATTATTATTATCAAAGATATAAATATTATTAAATATAAACAAAAAATAATTCTAATCCTATTTAAAAAAAAATTAGATTAAACTATTACAAAAAAAAAATAAATTCAATATTAAAATCTGTACATTGCAATTTTTTATAAAATTAAATTTATAGCTGTAATCAAGATTTAACTATTATTTTATTTAAATATTTCATTAATTAAAATGTTTATTATTTTAATTATTATTATCTATACTACTATATAATTTGGAAATGTTTCAAAATTATCAAATTTCTGTCACGCAAACAATTAAATTTAATGTGTCGCGCGATTATTATTAATTTTAATTTATTAAATAAAAAATTAATAAATAAAATATACTTTTTATAAAAAAAACTGTAAGCGCGTAAGTATTGTTTCACGTGTTAACTATTGATACACATTTTATTACGTGGAGATCTAACTAGTTTAGTAATAATTAAAATTTATAATTGTTTTTCTTACAATATGATAATTTTTCAATAATACTAAATTCAGTTAAACTTCAGTTTAGTAATCAAACAATTTTAAAAAAAAATTAATTAATACAAATTTATATTAAATTTAACTATTAAATTATCTAAATTATTGATAGTATAAGTTATATTAAATTATTTTAAAAAAAAATATTTTCTACTTTCAATTTTAATATTATTATTATTATCATTATTTAATAATAATATTATTTGTTCTATTAAAACTGTAAAAAGTTTTCTGTAAATATTTAAAACTAAAATGTTTAATATTTTAATTATTATTAGTTTAAACATGATAAACCTATTTTTTCCAGTTTTTTAACTACCAATTTGTTAGATTTGTAAATAATAATAATTATTGTATAATAAATATATTTGTAATTATTCAATGTCTCTGATAATTATAATTTTATTCAATCTTATAATAATAATTTTTTTTTATAAAAGTAATTAAACTGTACCTTAAAATTATTTATATAAATAAAATAAAATTATTTAATACTTCAATGTAGGTTAGAATCTAATTATTTATTTTATTGATTTTATTTTCTATACTAATCTTAAAGGAAATAATTAAATTAAATTAATTAATTATAAAAATTTATTTTAATAAAATAATAAATAAATAAAATATAAACATTACAAAAGTATTAGATTTAAATTATTATTTGTTTATTTAAAATTATTTAAATTATTATAATTGTTTGAAATCTAAATCTTTAAGCTATTTTCTTATATGGTGTCCAATCAATAGATTAGTCAAATTTATTATAACATATTTATTAATTCAATTTGTATTTTTTTAAAAAGATTTTATAGCAAAAATGTTATTATAAATTATTAATTAGCATATATAATATATAACACAAAATTATATTTAGAAACTTTTTAGTTAATTAGTATTATTATCATTGATATAAATATTATTAAACATTAACAAACATAATATTAATCCTATTAAATAAAATAAAAAAAAATTAAACTATAGCCTTCTAAAATAAATATTACAAATTGTAGATTGAAATTTTTTTTATAAAATTAAATTTATAGTTGTCTTTGATACATCAGTCATACGGTTTGGTATATGTGAATGACCTGTCCTTGAGTTGATCGCTGGCTCTGTACGGCCAGTGCGGGTCATTGAGGAAAGCCCTACCGATAAACACAAAACAGTTATCCCGAAGTAGTTTCTCGGCCATCAATGGATCTCGTATTTTACCGACAGCTGCCGTCCGTATGCCGGCCTCTAGTTGTATGACAGCCGCTGCCGAATGTTGTTGTTTGGATGTATTGAGGAATTCATAGCCAATACCCGATACAACACCACCTGAGCTAACATCAATCTCAATCAACTCCCAGTGCTTTGAGTTGTTTGGCCAACTCTACCGACTCGTAGAGACCCTAACCGTTGTCGCCGACAACATAATCGGTAAACGATATACGGACGGCCAGTACAGTATCGGCGGGTATAGCCCGGCGTACTTTGTCGGCAATTTCCAAACCCAAACGCATCCTATACTGGCCAGTGATACGCCGTATTTTGTCTTTATAACGATAATATACTGTATGTATTTATGTTTGTCTATAGTATATATCTCTGTAAACTGTATTTTTTAAATTATTTGTAATTAGAATTAATTGCCAATGCCAATCTAACTATTTAATTTATTATTGTTATATTAATAATAAGCATTAAATAATTTTTTTTAAAAAAAACATTAAAATAATTTAATTCAATTAATAACTTTAAAAAAAACTTATTTTAATAAAATAACAATTATAATTATAATTAATATATTAAAGTAATCAAAGCTTAATTATTATATTTAACAAACATAATATAAAATTAATATTATTAATCCTATTTAAAAAAACAAAATTAAATTATAACCTACTAAAATAAATTCAATATAAAAAACTGTACATTAATTTATTTTTGTAAAATTATATTTATAGTTGTTTTTTAACAAATTTATTTTTAGAGAATAAATAGCCAATCAATATATTCTGTACAATCAATATATCAATGATTTATGATTTACACTAATATAAAGTAAATAATTTTTAAATAATTTAGTTTATTATTATTACTGATATAAAAAATATTAAACATATAATACAAATATTTTTTTTTTTAATAAAACTATAATCTATTATAATAAATTGCATATTATGTCATTTGAATACTAATTAATAATTTTTTACAATAAAAATATTTATTATTATTTTTTTTAAAAAAATCTGTAATTTGTTTTTAATTTAGTTATTGTTTATTATTATATTATGAAAATTTTTATAGTAATACATAATTAATGACAAAATTATTGATAATACAAATTTAATTTATTTATCTAATTAGTAAAAATTATAACGTATTATATTTAAGTATTTAATTATATAAATTATTGTTAGTATAAGTTATTTAATAGATTATTTAAAAAAAAAATTGTTTTTTAATTAATAATTTTATTACAAATAAATTATATTTCATAATTATTAGTAAAAATTTTAAAACTTTATTTAACATTTAATTTAGCCATAACTCTTGCTAAAAAATTATTAAATAATTATTTGTTTATCAAAACTATAATATTATTTTTATATAAACATTTAATATTAAATCGATAATTACATTAAATATTTTTAGTGTCTAACATACCTTAAATTTTAAATTTTATTGTAAACAAATAGTAATAATATTTATTGTATAATAAATATAAGATTAGTTTATTATTCAATGACTCTGATAATTATATATCCAAATGTTAAAATAAATTTTTTAAAAAACTTTAAATTAAAATTATTTATAAAATTTTATTAATAGTTATTTTTAGAAATATTTTTTAGCTTACTCTTTTTATCTTTAATTAATAAATATATTTTAATTTAATTTTAATTAAAATATATCTATTTATTTTATTGTTGTTATATTAATACTAATAATACACAAAAATTATATAAAAAAATAAAATAATTCTATTCTATTCTATTAATAACTTATAAAAAAAACTTATTTTAATAAATTAAAAAAATAACAAAAAATTTTAAAATTAATTATTACATAAGTATTAGATTTTTTTAAATATAAATTTTAATAAATATATTTCTATTAAATTAAATTAATACAAATCTTAAAATTTTATTAGCAAAAAAGTTATTATTAAATTATTAAATATCTAAAAAATGTAATTTTATTTATGAAACTTTTTAGTTTGTTATTTTTATTACTATTATTATCATTAATATAAATATTATTAAACATCATAACAAACATAATATTACTCTTATTTAATAAAATAAAATCAAACTATAAACTACTAAAATAATAAATACAATATAATAAACTGTACATCAAAATTTTTTATAATATTGAATTTATAATTATATTATGAAATTTTTTTATTAGCCACGAAAGTTGATGGTTTATTTTTATTTACTGTGAAAATTAATACTAATATACATTAAAATTATTTTTAAAAAATAAAATAATATTTATAAATTTTAAAAATTTTATTTTAATAAAATAACAAATTCAAAAAAAATAAATTATTACATAAATATTAGATTTTACTAGTATTTATTTTTTTTGTTAATTATTATTTGAATTATTATTATTATTGATTTGAATCTAAATCTCTACGCCATTTCATATACGCTGTCCAACCGATACACCAGTCATACGGTTTGGGATAATTGAATGACCTGTCCTTGAGTTGATCGCTGGCTCTGTACGGCCAGTGCGGGTCATTGAGGAACGCCCTACCGATGAACACAAATGTTGAACAGTTATCCCGAAGTAGTTTTTCGGCCATCAATGGATCACGAATTTTACCGACAGCTGCCGTCGGGATACCGGCCTCTAGTTGTATGACAGCCGCTGCCGAATGTTGTTGTTTGGATGTATTGAGGAATTCATAGCCAATACCCGATACAACACCACCGGAACTGACATCAATCAAATCAACTCCCAGTGCTTTGAGCTGTTTGGCCAACTCTACCGACTGTTGGATATCCCAACCGTTGTTGTCGTCGACAACATAATCGGTAAACGATATACGAACGGCCAGTACAGTATCGGCGGGTATAGCCCGGCGTACTTTGTCGGCAATTTCCAAACCCAAACGCATCCGATTGGCCAGTGATCCGCCGTATCTATCTTGGCGTCGATTGGTTGCCGCCGATAGAAATGAGTTGACAAAATAGCCATGGGCATAATGTAGTTCAATTAACTATAATTAATAATAATAATATTAGTTTTAAAAAAAAAATTAATTATATAAATATAATGTTAATGTTAATTTTAATTTTCAATTTTTTTTAATTTTTAAAATAATATTTCATTTAAACTCATATTCAAGTATTTTTTTATTCTACAATAAATATATATTAATTAATATTATTTAAAAAATAATAATAATCAATATACTAATTAATTTAGTAAAGTTATTAAAGCTTAATTAAAAATTATTATTTAAAAATAAACTGTAATTGAAATAATTTTTAAAAAATTTAATTTATAATGTATTTATAGATTAATTAATAGTTCTAAATATATGACATAATTTTATATTACTAGAATCTATAAAAATTATGTAATTTATAATTTATAATAATTTTTTAAAGATACTTTAATAATATTAGATATATTTTTTTATTAGTTTTATTAACTATACTTTAGTTTGAAATTAGAAAAGAAAATCATATATCTATAAATAATTATTTTTTTTTAAAAAACAAAACATTACTAACTGACCTGAAAACCGGCACTAATAGCTCTCTGAGCTGCCGTTACCAAACTGTTGACTATTATATCAATATCATCAACAGTTGCCTCTTTGGGTATTTTCATAACATCACTGAATCGGAGAGCACTGGGAGCTATTGTATCCCAACCGCCATCCGAATCGCTTAACGATCGACTATTACCGACATAAGTACCCGCTTTACGGCCAGCGTGTGCCAGCTGTATACCGGCTACACATCCCTGTCCCCTGAGGACAGTCACTATCTTAGACCAGGGCTCGATTTGCTGGTCAGTCCATAGTCCCGGGCAACCAGTTGTTACCCGTCCCCGGGGTTCGACTGCCGTTCCCTCACATACTACTAGACCGGCACCGCCGATAGCAAACGATCCGTAATGAGCCAAATGAAACTCATGGGGTATACCGTCACCACGTGTTGAGCACATACCCATCGGTGATACGCCGATACGATTTTTGAATGTCGTCCCCCTAATGGTTATCGGTTCAAACAGTTTGGATACCGGTTTTATTTTTAATATATCAATAGTAGTGGAGGAACTCATATTTAATTAATTTAAATATAATTTTTAAAAATTTAAAAAAATACTGTAAATATAATTTAGAATATGTTTTTTTTTTAAAAACAAACTTATATAAAAAAATTAAAAAAAACTGTTATTAATTTTTAAAAAATCTATTTATATAAATAAATAAATAAATTTTATTTTATTAGAAAATATAACACAAAATTTATTTTCAAATGTTTATATACTTTTAATTTTGAATGTAAATATCACTCTCATATGTTTGATTTGATACTGATATAAGTTCATTAAAAGTACTACTGTATTAAATATTTGTTAAAATTTATTTTTTTATTTTTTTAGAAAATTAATTTATGATATATACAATACATACAATAATTTATTTATTTTTTTTTGATAAACTTATATCTACTATAACTATGCACCCAATTAAAGGTGCATTAGTTAATTAAACGTACATTTGAAGTGCAATTGTTTATACTGTATATATTTAAGGCTTATATTGCAATAATTATCTTAATTATAACTAGAGTTTCAAATACATGTTAAACAACTCATAGATTACTATTTAATATCTGTAACTTGATTTTTTTTTTTGGTAATATATATAGTGATTGTACTGTATTACTCTCTATTTGTTTGTGCTATAACTTGCCTGTATAACTATTACTAGTTTATATACAGTGTATTACATTTTTAATGTACAGTGTATAGTAGGATAGTATGGGTAAAAAATATTAACTATAATATATTTACAATCATATATACATTATTAACGTTTTAATATATTATATATTAATTAGTTTAACCTTGGATGTTTAATGTTGAGTATATATATATATATATATATATATATATATATACGATAAATAATATCAATGATATTAAAACGTTTATAAAATGTTTTATAACTATATATATATAATTTAAATTTAAACACTATTTCAACTAACAAAATCAAATTAATTAAAATTATTGCATAAGTGTTTAAGCAATAGTAGTTTAATACAACAAAAACAACAACAAAAATGTTATAATATTTTTAAAAATTTTTAAAACATTTATTTTATAACTTTTATATAATATATATATATATAATATTTTAATTAAACTATATAATAATAGTATAATTAATTTTTCAAATAATTTTAAATTATTATTATTATTAGTATTAAATTATTATTATTATTAGTAGTATTTAATTATTATTAGTATTAGTATTAAATAACATTTACATTATTAATCTCTAATGTATGTAAACTTCTCTTATCTAATATAACTTGAAATAATTTCGTAGTAATATTTAGTTTGTTATCAAAAACATATAATATTTTATCATTTTTAGGTTGTGTTGTCCATCGGTTAACAACTGTCCCCTTTTTTATAGTAGCAAACATTGTTAAATCATAGGTAATATTAACTGATGATTGATCCAAATTTAAGGAAACAATAACTAGACGTTTATTTTGGTAGTCATAGGCGGCTACAGTATTCAATCGATCGGTTGATAGTATTTGCATACCTTTCCTAATGTGTCGGCAAAACTGTGACAATACATAGTATTTATGATTCAGACGACCCAATTGTTTTTCAGCCGGATTTGTCTAAAATTAATTATATTTAAAAAAAAAATTAATTTCAAAATAAAGTATTTAAATATAAATATTTTTTTAGTTTTTTTTAAATTAATAAATAATTTTTTGTTAATTAATAAATAATTTTTTGTTAATTAATAAATAATTTTTTGTTAAAAATTAGTTTGAAAATAAAGTATTCAAATATAAATAGTTTTTTTTAGTTTTTTTTTAAATAATAATAATTTTTTTTTTTAATAACAAAGTTAGTGTAAACTTTTCATAATTAAATGTTGTTATGTTTTTTCTATAAATTAAAATTTTAGTTTTAAATAACTTTACAGTAAAAAATGGAAACTTTTTTAATATATAATATAAACATGTTTAGTATATATCAATAAACTAATGCATTTATTTATAAAAATATTAAATCTATTGAATTTATCTAAAACCAAAAAAAATAATATATTTTTGATTTTAAAAAAATAAATAAATAAATTTTAATAACTTTTGTTTATTTAAAAAAAACTATTTGTATTAAACAAGATCAATTAAGTTAGACCTAAATTTATATTAGTCTAAAAATTAAATTATTTATATTAGCTATTAGTATTTAAGTTATTAATTAATTAGTTAATTATTTTAACTAAAAAATGAAAAATCAAGTGTATTTGTTATAATTAATTTAATCTATAAAATATAATAAATTAAATTTTTAGTCTAACATTAAGTTACAGTTTTATTATATACAGTATTTTAATAAAATCTATATTTTATATTATAGTTGTCTGTATTTTATTAATTAATTTATTTATTGGTACAGTGTAAAGTTTACTTTTAAAAAATAAATTAGGGCGGGGAGGGGTAAGGGGGGGTAAACTAGTTTAAAGTGTTGAAGTTGTGAAGTTTAAAATTAGAGAGAGAGAGAGAGAGAGAGAATGAGTGAGTGAGTGAGTGAGTGAGTGAGTGAGAAAGAGAGAGAAAGAGAGAGAGAGAAAGAGAGAGAGAAAGAGAGAGAAAGAGAGAGAGAAAGAGAGAGAAGAGAGAGAGAGAGAGAGAGAGAGAGAGAGAAGAGAGAGAGAGAAGAGAGAGAGAGAAGAGAGAGAGAAAGAGAGAGAGAGAAGAGAGAGAGAAAGAGAGAGAGAAAGAGAGAGAGAAAGAGAGAGAGAAAGAGAGAGAGAAAGAGAGAGAGAAAGAGAGAGAGAAAGAGAGAGAGAAAGAGAGAGAAAGAGAGAGAAAGAAAGAGAAAGAGAGAGAAAGAGAGAGAGAGAGACTTAAGTTTATAAAATGCTTACAACAATGAGTCCCCAATCGGATCCGTCAAACGTTTGCCAATAGATCCAAGCGGTCGGATGTAACCAAAACAAGTCGAGCATCAGATTCTGGGCTAACGGTATACCCGACGGATCTCCCTCTCCGTACTCCGTATTCCACAATTGCTTACCGTCACCACCGGCACCGGTACCCACCAAATCGTACAACTCTTTTCGCTGGCCATACGCATACTGATAGCCGTGAACGTTAACCCTGGCGACCAATTGACGGACATCCCCCGGGAAACTTTTCCATAATTTCAGGGCACCGTCATATGTATTATCATCGGATGCGGCAACTAATACATCCCTGAGTTCACGCACGTCCAACTCATGTCTCAGATATCGGATAACCTGTTGCTGTGCTTCCGTACCAATATGACAGGCCTCTTGACTACCTTGGGAAGTCCAGCCCCAACTGGTTGCCTCATTAAACGGTTCAACCGATACAAACGTCATGTTCCACTTGTCGCGGGCATACTTGGCTACTGTAGCCAAATATATGGCAAACTTACGATAGGAGTCGGGTCGGAGATTTTCACCGCCATCCCCGGCACCGCTCGGATTCAGATTGGCTAACATCCACCACATAGGACTGTTGGAAAACATTTCCAGCTGATCGACACCCCTGTCCATGGCCTTACCGACCATCTGGCGCTGTCTGCTATCGGCTGTCCAATTCCAGCTTCGGTAGTCATCGGGTTTGTCCTCCGATTCGCCGTCCAGCCAATAGCCTTCCATTTGCCGAAACTTGGGTATGTTTGGCGATTCAACCATATGTTTGGTAGTGGTGGTACCGTTCCTATTATCAATGGTATTCCATGAGCACCCACCTACATTGTAGCGGGCAATGTTCAAACCGAGACCCGGTACCGATTTGTTATGATAGTTAACCCATTTCAATGTAAACATCATATCAGCCAGATCATCCCGGTCGCCGAATACATTGGCCCACCAGGCCAGGGATGTACCCCAACCGTCCCATTGACCCCATTGTTTAGTCGGATCTATTTTGACTGTATATGTGTCGTCGTCACCAATAACACCATGATGATGATGATTTAATTGAATTAATATAAATAATGCATAATATATCATGCTCATTTTATTATTATTAATTATTAATTAGTAGTTTTACTATTATTATTATTAATTATTAATAATTTTATTATTATTATTATTATTAATATTAATTATTAATAATTTTATTATTAATATTAATTATTAATAATAAAATTATTATTATTAATTATTATTAATTTTATTATTATAAAAAATTATTAGTAATTTTTTTATTTTAATTAATTAATTATTAGTAATTTTATTAAAAAGTACTACAAATAGTGTTTTGCAATGTTTTATTTGCTATAAAAATATTTCTATACTTTATTAATTGTTTTAATTATTGTGTGAATTAATAAATATGTCTAATTATATTTGATATCTTTTTTTTATTGTATATTGTTTTTGATTATTATTATTATTATAGTATAAATATGTTTAGTTTCTCATATAATTTTAAAAAAATAAATAATTGTATATTGATAATAGTACTTGATTAAGTAGTATTATTATTATTAATTGTTTTATTAAAAGTTTAATCATATAAAATAGTATTATTATTATGATTTTTAATTAATATTTATAAGATTTTTTGTAATAATTTTTAAAAAAATTAAATTAACAATATTATTGTTGAAAAAAACAACAAATATAGCAAATAGTTTTCAATAGGCTAAAATAAAAATATAATATTTGAAAGTTTATTATTAATTAAAATAATAATAAACTTATTACAGTTTTGTGTAACTAATTGATTGTATTTAAAATTTTTAAAAATAATTTTTAAACATTAAAAAATAAATATATGTAATATGTGTAATATATGATATATAAAAATTAATTTATTATAATAACAATTATTTATATACTTTACATTAATTTTATTTTATTTTATCATAATATTAAAAATAGTTAATTTATGACCTAATATTAAATCAAAATCAATAAATAGATTTTTTTTGTATGTTATCATAATGAACTAATTAAATAAACTATTATATTATGTAAAACTTATTAGTGATATTTAAAAAAAACTTTTAAAAAATATATATATACAATATATATATATAAATGTATATCTATAACACAATATATATATATATATATATTTATGTCTATTTTTAAGTCTATACCGGTATTTACTGCATCTACTAATGGGATATTATATAATGTAATAATAATAATACTATTAATATATATATATATATATCAAATGTATTGAATACCTGTTGTGTTATCTTTTATTTTGTTGAAAAAAATAAAGTATACATAAAAAGCAGCTCAAAATAAATAGACTTTTTTTCTATTAATTATTTAAGTAATGTATTTCCCCACTACTGATAACAAACTTGAAAATCAATTTTATTATTTTTTAATTTAGCAAAAAAATAAAAAAAAAATAGAAAATTAAGAAAACAAAATTAGACCACAAAAATACATAACAGTTATAATAGTTATTATTATTATTATTATTATTAGTTTTTTGGATAAGTTTTTTGTTAGTGTTGTTGTTGAAAGTGAAAACTAAATAATTAATACATTATATAAAATTATTATTATTATTTTTTAAAAATTAAATAAAAATAAAAAATGTCGGCTAACGGTAATGATATTGTCATCAGCGGTATGAGTGGCCGCTTTCCGATGTCGGACACTGTCGACGAGTTGGCCAAAAATCTTTACGCCGGCATCGATATGGTTACCGAAGAGGACGGCCATCGGTGGCCAAAAGGTTAGTGAAAAAAATTTAGTTTAAAAAAAATATTTTTAAATATATATTATTTTTAAATATATATATATTCATATATATATATATATATATGATATATAATAAAAATTCATATTTTTTAGAAACTGTAATATTATTTTTATATAAAATAAAATATTGATATTACTATTACTATTTAGATTATAACCCAGCACAAATAGAAAATTTTTTTATAATTTTCAATTAATTAACTTTTGTTATATATATATATATAACTTTTAATTTTGTAAAAAACAATAAAATTAAATATTAATTAAAAATTTCTATTTAACTTTTATTATTATTATTAATATTACATTAGTAAACTGTAGTTAAAATATTATCATTTTAATTAATTAAATTTATTAAAGTTATATTGAGAGTTAGTAGCCCGTTTTCCATCAAATAAATTTTTATTTTATATGTATATAATAAATTTAAAATGAAAAATCTAAAAAAGTAAATAATAAATATTTTATATTATTTTTTAAACAAATAAAAAAATTATCTTATATTTTAATATATATTGATATTATTATTTCAAAATATTATATATATTTTTTTGTTTAATTAATACTATATTTATTTTTTCTTATTAATACTATATTTTTTTATCTTATTAATACTATATTTATTTTTATTTATTAATACTATATTTAATTTTTTATTTATTAATACTATATTTATTTTTTCTTATTAATACTATATTTTTTTATCTTATTAATACTATATTTATTTTTATTTATTAATACTATATTTAATTTTTTATTTATTAATACTATATTTAATTTTTTATTTATTAATACTATATTTAATTTTTCTTATTAATACTATATTTAATTTTATTTATTTTTTTATATAGATTTATATGGTATGAACAGCCGAATGGGTAAAATCAAAGATTACAGCAAATTTGACGCCACTTTTTTCGGGCTTATGGAGCAAATGACCGAAATATTGGACCCGCAGTCGCGTCTACTATTGGAGGCCACCTATGAGGCCATTGTCGACGCAGGTCTGTCCCAAATTTGTTATCATATTTTTTAATTAATTATATAATATATATATATATATATAACTCAATAAATCTATAAATTAATTTGAAATACATTTTCAGGTAAATATATTGTAATTTTTTTCTTTAATAAATAATAATTTTTGGATATAATATTAAACTGTAATTAATTAATATGTTATATAAATAAATAATTATTATTATATAAAAACAAATTAATCAGGCTAAATAATAATTCACAATAATATTTTTTTTAAATATCTATAAAATATTGTTATAGATTTATAATAATAAAAAATTGCTGATCAGTTATTAAATAGTTTTTTTATTTTAAATAATTATAAAATTATATTTTAATTTATTATTATTATTATTAGTATTAGTATTATAATTACAATATTTGCAATTTTCTACATAGCGCTATATACATTAATTAAATTATAAGTAATATTTAATATATATATATATTTTTTTTTAATAATTAACAATATTATATGATTTAATAATTTTTTATAAATAAAATTTTTATTTATTTATTTATTTATTACACATACTATTGGGTTAACAAAAAAATTGATTTTTTTTTAGGTATAAATCCACAGTCGATGCGCGGCTCGCGTACCGGTGTCTACATCGGTATGTCTGTCTATCCGATGATTGACAACTATCCGGAGGAACACCAGCCGGATCTGGTATCCAATAAACAGTCGACAATGTTTCAGCTGATGGCCGGTATGCGCTGTCTGTACGCCAATCGGATATCCTATGTGTTTGACTTTCGCGGTCCGTCGCTGATGGCCGACACGGCCTGTTCGGCCAGTCTGACCGCATTCAATCTGGCCTACAATGACCTACGACTAGGTATGACCCATATATATATATACTGTGTATATATATGCTGTAATTTGTAGGTTATCTCGGATGGGGGTGAAAGGGGTGTCTTGAATACAGTCTATATATTTATAGTCTATATATACAGTCTATATATACAGTCTATAGTATACAGTCTATAGTATACAGTCTATAGTATATGTATATACAGTATATACATGTATACACAGTACAGTATATACATGTATACACAGTATATACATGTATACACAGTATATACATGTATACACAGTATATACATGTATACACAGTATATACATGTATACACAGTATATACATGTATACACAGTATATACATGTATACACAGTATATACATGTATACACAGTATATACATGTATACACAGTATATACATGTATACACAGTATATACATGTATACACAGTATATACATGTATACACAGTATATACATGTATACACAGTATATACATGTATATATACAGTATATAGATATAGTATATGTATACTGTATATATATACTGTTAATAGATTGTATATATAGACTGTAAATATATAGACTGTATCCAAGATATCCCTTTCCCCCCTCCCCATCCTAAATAACCTAATTAATTGCTTATATCCATTATACACACATAGGAAACACCGATTATGCCATCATTGGCGGCACCCATATGACACTCCAGCCGTTTATACTGCAGATGCAACAGGAATCGGGTCTGTGTTCACCGCGTGGTGTGTCGGCAGTACTCGACCAGTCGGCCGACGGTTTTGTCAAAGGCGAAGCCGTTGTCGTACTAGTACTACAACGTCGACCGCAGGCCCGCCGAGTGTACGCCCGTGTGCTGACCTCGCGGTTGAATATTGACGGCAAAAAAACTATTGGTATGTTTTATCCGTCAGCCGCCGCACAACAGGACCTAATGGTCAAGTCGTACAGTGAGGCCGGTATCGATCCGCTAGAGTTGACCCTATTTGAAGGTCATCTAACTGGTACTAAGGTATTGACTACCAGTCCTCTACAGTATATATATATACAGCTATATATAATGTTATTTTATCTATAGGCTGGCGATCCCCAGGAGGTTAAGTCCATCTATAAGGCCTACTGTGAACTACCCGGTCGTACCGAACCGTTGCCATTGGGTGTACTAAAGAGTAATATCGGCCATACAGAGGGTGCGTCGGGTTTGGCATCAATTGTCAAAGTTATCATTGCCTACGAAAACGAGTCGATACCGCCCAATATTAATATGACCCAGCTCAAAGATGAACTGAAAGCCTACTGTCCACCATTGATGCCCATTACTCAACCCTATCCATATAAACCAGGTTAGTTGACTATATATATAAATATCAATTAAATATGCAATTAATAAAATATTATACATTATTAAGTTATAATGTATTAGACATTATAATTATTATTATTAATATTATTTTATTTGAAACACTAATAACTAAACAGTAATATGCTTATATAAATAAATATGTAAGTATTTTATTATTTTATTTAATTAACTTTTTTTTTAAAAAAAATTATTGATTATTATTTTGTTTACCAAAAAAAAACTGTAATATCCTATATAAATAAAATTATTGATTTACTTAATTTTTATGTTATTTATAATTTAGTTTTCAGATCTAAAATTCAATTAGATTTTAATTTTTTTTTTATATATTAAATTTATTTCATTGACTATTAGCTATATTATTTATAAATAATTATTATTAAATAAAATTAAATAAATAAAACAAAATAAGTTAATTAATAAACTATTATTATTAATAATTTAAATATAGTGTTTGTTTTTTATTTATTTATTTGTTGTTGGTAGTTTTTATATAATTAAAACTATACTAGAACTAAACTGTAATATTAACATAGCTAAAAAAAAATTATTGTTTAAATACTTTTATTTTTTAATATTTTTATAGAATATTACTAACTGGGAAGAGTATGAAAAAAACAAAATTTGTTTTTTTTAATGATAAGTGCTATATATATAAAACACTAAATTTGTTTGTAGTTACAGTCTATAAGGTAATTAAATTCAATTATTTAGTAAATCAAATATTTTAATTTATTTTTATTACAATTATGTCCTTTTAAATAATATTAATTATTAAATTATAAATACATTTGATTTACTTACATGGTCAGTTTAATTATTAACGGTCAAAAATGACCAGTGGTCACTATGTAGTAATATTTATAAAAATTAATTTATAATTGTTTAAATTAAATTGTTTTAACTTGAAATAGTTATAAAAATTTGATTTTAATATTTAATTAATAAAAATAATTGAATTTAATTACCTTATAGACTGTAACTACAAACAAATTTAGTGTTATATATATATAGTACTTTTCACCAAAAAAAACAAATTTTGTTTTTTTTCATACTCTACCCTGTTTATTAACAATTATTTAATAATTTGTATTTTTTTAAAAAAATTTTTGTTTAGTATTTTAAATTATATATATATATATTAATTACTATTAATTTGTTAAAATTTTTATTATTGTCTATATAAATGTTGTCTATAAAATGTATAAATATAAAGGTATTGCCGGTATCAATAACTTTGGCATCGGTGGTGCCAATGGACACGTACTACTTGAACCAAATTACAAACTGTTAACCGATGCCGACTTGTCGATAGCCGATCCCATACCACGTTTGGTCAACATTTGTGGCCGAACCGAATCGGCGGTCAACTATATTATGGATTTTATTCAACAAAATCCTAGACGTGTGACCAAACAATTTTTGGCACTTTTAGCCGAAACCATGAGATATACACCGGATATTAATTCATCGGGATTTCCCTATAGAGGTAAATGTTTAATGATTTTTTTTTTAAAAAATAATAAATAAAATTAATAAATATTTTTATTAAATTATATTATTATTTTTATTTTTATTTGTAAAACTATTAAAAAGCAATTTATTTCTGCAATATGTTTTTTTTTAAATAATCTAATCTAATAAAAAAAATTAATTGTTAATTTTTTTAACAAAAAAAATTGTTACAATTTTCTAGTTTATAAAATTTATAATAATTATTTATTTTATTTTAATTCACTTGTCGAAGATTTTTAATAATTTTTAAAAATTTAAAATTAACTTATTTAATAAGTTTTGATTTTAGTAAAAATATATTAATATAATAATTATTTTATTATCAAGTTAATATATTTATATATTAATTAAATTAATTAATTAAGAAGAATTATAATTAAATTATTAAAATTTATATAATAGTCAATAAAACTAAAATAAGATTTTTTAAAACATTCTAATTATTAATACATTATAATAACTTTATTGATTTAAATTTTATTATCAAATAATAATTTTTATTTTAATTTATAACTATTATTTAAAATTATAAAACAATTTTAATTCTAAATAAATTTCTATTTTAAATAAATAGTACAATTTAAAAAAAAATTAAATCGGTCCGCCATTTACATTCTATTTAAAATATGAATCAAACTTTTAAATATATAAAATTACTATTTTCTAAATTTATTACAGTCATTTTTTCATTATTACTTTAAAAAATTAATTATTTTGTAAAATTTAATATATATATAAACCTTATATATATATATTTGGATAATAAATTTAACTATTATTATTTTTAAAAAATAAACTAGGTACATTGTTTATTAAGAAAACCAATGGCGGCGACACCCATGTCACTGATGACGGCAACAAACAATATGACTATCGGAGACAATTGGGTTTTATGAGTCGGAAAACACAACGTCCACTGTGGCTACTGTTTCCCGGACTGGGCGGCCAATGGCCGGGTATGGCCCGGGCATTGATGCCCGTCCAAGTATTTGCCGATAAACTTGGGGAATGTCATCAAATACTTCACGAGCTGTTTGGTGTCGATCTCAGACATATACTACTCGCGGACGACCCCTTGGCTATCGCAACAATGACTGCTAAGTTTATATCGACTACCGCTATGGAGATTGCATTGTACGAAGTGATCCGATCGTTGGACATCCCTATCGCGGGTATAATTGGCCACTCGTTTGGCGAGATTGCTTGCGGCTATGCGGACGGTTGTCTAACGACCAGACAGGCTATGATTGTTAGCTACTATAGAGGTTCGGTTACCGAAAACGACCCATTGATACCTCCGGGTTTGATGGCAGTGGTAGGACTGTCCAAATCACGACTACAACCAATGTTACCCCAGGGTGTTAGGATAGCCTGTAATAATTCAAAAGATAGTGTAGTTATATCAGGTATTGTATGACTTTCCTCTCTCTCTATATATATCTAACATATACTGTACTAATAATAATAATAATAATAATAACTTTTTATTTTTAAGGACCCGTTAAGCAAATGAAACAAACTATTGAACAATTATCGGGTAAACAGGTGTTTGTCCGCCAATTGGACAGCAGTGGTATACCCTATCATACAGACTATTTGCAATCATCGGCCGAACCTATGCTCGAGGCTATCAAACAATACATACCGGCGCCGAAACTGAGATCTAGTAAATGGGTGTCCACTTCATTGGTGGCAAAACCTAATATAGACAACACTAATGACGATCGGCTTATGTATGCATCGGCCGAGTATTATGTCTATAATCTAGTAAATCCAGTGGAGTTTTACGACAAACTCTCGGCGTCCATACCTACCGATGCCGTAGTACTAGAACTGGGACCGCATGGGGTGTTCAAAAAAGTGGTCACCGAAACACTGGCCGACCAAACAGTGGACTATCTATCACTTATCCAACGGGACCAAAATGACCAAAATTTGGATCGACTACTCGCAGGTATCGGCCAACTCTACCAATACGGTTATAATCCATGTATTGAAAACCTGTACCCACGGGTTGAGTGGCCAGTCGGTCGATCGACACCATCAATAGGTTCGCTAATCAAATGGGATCATAGGGTTGACTACGAAAAGCTCAGGTATCCGACGGTCAACTGTCGCTATACGGCCGGCGATATGAATGTCGAACTGATGTTGAATACGAAAGACGAGTCATACTATTTGGATCACTCGATCGATGGCCAACCGGTGTTTCCGGCAACCGGTTATCTGATGCTAGCCTGGCGTCAGTTGGCCGCTCATTGCGGTAAATTGTGGACAGAGGTACCGGTTGTTTTCGAGAACATACAGCTACGTAGGGCTACCTTTTTGCAGGACAGTACCACAACGATGCTTAAAGTCAAATATCATCCAAACACAGGTTAGTTATTATTTAATTAAATATATAATTAATTATTATTCTAATTATTACTTAATTATTACTTAATTATTATTTTAATTATTAATTATTAATTAATAATTTTTTTTCTAATATTTATAAATATAATGTAATTAATTAAAAAATAATATTAGTTTTTAAAACTAGTTTATTTTTAATTATTATTATTAGAATATTAAAAACACTATTTAAAAACTAATAATAATAATATAGTATTTAGATATTTAGATTAATAGTCAAAATATATAGATATAATACAGTATATAGGAAATAGTAGTTATTTTTTGTAGTAAAACTGTAATTATTATGAAAACTTTAAATTTTAACACAATTAAAATAAACATATAATATATATTGTCTAGGCAAGCCAAAATTTTGTTTTTTAAATTTAATAAAATAAGTTTATTACTTTAACATTAAGTTTATTATTATATAATTAATAACTATTAGTATTATTTTTTTATATTTATAATATACACTTTATTAAATAAAATTGTAATAATACAATACAATATTGTTTTTTAGACATAATATATTTATTTTGTTTTGTTTTTATATATACTGTATATATATATATAAATTTGTAAAACTGTAATTATTTTGAAAACTTTAAATTTTAACACAATTAAAATAGTTATATATAGTAGATAGTGTTGGAAGGTCATAATGTTTTTTTTAAAAATTATAATATAATAAGTTTATTACGGGAGAGTATGAAAAAAAACAAATTTTGTTTTTTTTGGTGAAAATCGCTATATATATAAAACACTAAATTTGTTTGTAGTTACAGTCTATAAGTTAATTAAATCTAATTATTTAATAAATTATATATTAAAATAAATTCTTCATTACAAAATATCTTTAAAATAATTTAATTTACACAATTGTAAATAAATTTTCATAAATATTTATACACAGTGACCAATGGTCATTTTTTGACCATTAATAATTAAACTGACCATTTAAAATTATTTTATAAATAAAACGTATTTATAATTATTTAAATTAAATTATTTTGAAGATATTTAGTAATAAAAAATTGATTTTAATATATAATTTATTAAATAATTAGATTTAATTAACTTATAAACTGTAACTCCAAACAAATTTTTTGACCATTAATAATTAAACTGACCATTTAAGTACGGTAAGGTATTTATAATTTATTAATTAATATTATTTAAATTGATTTAAAAGTTATAATGATAAACTATAATGTATAATTTATTAAATAATTAAATTTAGTTAACTTATAGACTGTAACTCCAAACAAATTTAGTGTTTTATATATATGGCACTTTTCACCAAAAAAAACAAAATTTGTTTTTTTTCATACTCTCCCTTTTATATATATAGCGATTTTCACCAAAAAAAACAAAATTTGTTTTTTTTCATACTCTCCCGTTTATTACTTTATAATTATATATAATTAATAACTATTTTTAATATTATTTTTTATATTTATAATATACAGTATATACTAAATTGTAAATACAAAACAATATTGTTATAATCAGGGAGAGTATGAAAAAAAACAAATTTTGTTTTTTTTCATACTCTCCCTTATAATCATAATATATTTATTATAATTTTTTTTGTAATACTGTAATTATTTTTAAAACTTTAAATTTTAACAGAATTAAAATAAATATATACTGTAAATAGTAAAGGTTGAAAAAAACATTTTTTAAATAATTTAATATAATAAATTTATTAGTTTATAATTATATATATATATAATTAATAACTATTTAATATTATTATTATTTTTTATATTTATAATATACAATATATACTAAATTGTAAAAATACAATACAATATTTTTTTTCAGACATAATATATTTATTATAATTTTTTATTTGAAAAAAATTTATCTAGGTGATTTTGCCATATCGGAAAACGATAATGTATGTGTAGTAGGCCGGTGCCGGTTAGGAGCCGATGATGACCTACTGGTAGCACAAAATCTAGTACAAGAGGTCGAGCACAGGTATACAACCGGAACTACTGGTGAACCTATAGGTAAATATCGGTTATCGAGAGCCGATATCTATAAGGAGTTACGGATTATGGGCTACGACTACGGACCGGCATTTCAACGGTTGGTTAGCGTAAGCACCGCCGATACTTTTGGCCAGTTAGACGGTACTATTGAATGGGACGGACGTTTTGTTACCTATTTGGACGCAATGTTACAGTCAATGGCCCTGACTGTACCGTTCCGGAAACTAATGGTACCCGTAATGATGAAATCCATACGTATTGATCCGCGGGTATTGTTTGCGGCCATCAAACGATACCGATTGGTGACAACGGCAGCGGCGGCGGACAACAAATCACTGTCGGATAATAAATCGTCCGATGATTTGAATTTACCGTTTAGTGGCGATACTCAGGAACCGATAGATAATGAGGACAGGGATCAGTCTACTACTACTACTATACGGGAAACTATGGGCGAAATATTTACCGAACAATACGATAGATTTACCGAAAGATTTTGTGTCTATCGGTCTCGGTTGCCGTTTGTTTTCGATACGGACACCAAATTGTTGGTCACCTACGGTGTCGAAGTGGAAAATGTGGCCGCATTTCCGATACCGCGCCGTATGGATACTACCGATCTCGTAGTTGATTCGTATGAATTTCTGGCCAACAATGATTGTACGGCTTATATGGACGGATCCGATCAGCACCGGGAACTGATTGACTATCTAGAGGTTAGTTACTTATTATTATTATTTTAATTTTTTTTTTGAAAAAAATTATATTTTTTAAATAATATATTTAACAAAAAAAATACAGATTATTATTATTATTAATTAGTATTAATTATTTAAAAAAAAAATAAATTATTAATAATGCTTTTATTTAACTATTATTAATAATGTTTTATTTAACTATCATTAATGTTAAGTATATGTATTTAGTATATAAAATCTTTATTATAATAAAAAAATTAATAATAATTTTTATCTAATAATTAATAAATTTTGAAAAAATATATATTTAAATAATATAATTAACAAAAAAAAATAAATATACACATTATTATTTTTATTATTAATTAGTATTTATTATTTAAAAAAAAATAAATTATTAATAATGTTTTTATTTAACTGTCATTTATGTTAATTATATATTTAGTATATAAAATCTTTATTATAATAAAAAAAAATTAATAATAATTTTTATCTAATAATTAATAAATTTCGAAAAAATAAATTTTGAAAAAATATTTTTTTCTTAGTTATTTATAAACATTAAAAAAAAATAAAATAATAAACGGCGTTAAAGCAAGTCTAAAATGTTATTTTATTGTTTAATAAAATAATAGTAACATATAATTTAAAATAATAATACAGTTTATTTTTTTCATTATTTTTTTAAAAAAAAAAATTACTAACAAAAATATTAAATATTATAAAAATTAATGTTTCAATTTTTTTTAAAATTATTTTTAAATAAACTAAAATATTTATATAATATAATAATAATTTTTATGTGATTATTACCTTAACGACTATTATATGAAATATCAAAATTATAATTATTTATTTATTTTTGTAAAACTGTAATTATTTTAAAAATCCTAATTTTACTTTTATATAATTAAAAGAAATATTTTTTTTTTTTTAGTTTCTAACTGAAATCATTATTTTAATTTAATTAAATAATTGTTAAATATTTATTTGTTTAGTTTTTTTCTATAAAAAATTTATATTATTATAATCTATAAATTTAGATAAATTTAGTTTTCTTTTGTGTTTTGTATACATTATATAATTTAAAGTTAATTATTAAAGTTATTGAAAATATAATATATTTTTAAAAAATATTTATTTATTTATTTAAACTAATTATATCATAGTTAAAGTTTGTTTTATAGTTAGAAAAATAATTAAATAATTTACATTAAATTG